CAGACACTTCCCACCCGTTGGGAAAGAAGTGGCTCACTCTGGGCGTAAGGAGGGCTCTGAGGATTACCTCTGGAGAACCAGGCCAGACAGCAAATCCGAAGCTCTGTTTGTCTCCTTCCAAATAGGGGCCTGGGTAACAGGGTGACTTCCACCACAATAGGTAGGTGGTTGCAAACCTGCGTTGCCACTGCATACCAATCGCAGGGCTTACAGACACCAATCATGTCACAGCTCACTCCACGCGGAGCGCAGCCACGTCCAGGGCCTGGGCCACGCAGACAGCCCTGGCCGGAATCTGCAGGGCAGCCACGTGGGCTTCCCCCTCTCCCTTTGCTAGGAAGAGCTTACTATGGAAATATAGGCCCAAATCATCAGGAGTATTGACAGAAACACATGCATCAGCTGCTCCTGAGCAAGGTGAATCCTGCCCTACTCTTATTACTTAATTTTGTATCTGTGAAACTCAAAGCTTCTTCCAATTCCATTTACGCTCCTTTTTCTTTACATCTTCATATATGCATAGATGTGATGGAACCACTACACACAGAGTTCTATGGTCAAGGGTGAGATGCTTTAGCAATTGAAAAGGTAACAAAATGGCCACTGGGAAAACACTAAAATGCTTTATCTTTCAGTACTGTGAAGTTTTTAGAAACTTATAGGGATCCCAAGTTTTTAAACATTGATTTTTCTCTTTCCATGGGGGCAAGGCGGGATTTTTGCTCTTCAGAAATTTCTGCCACACTTCCCACCAACTGATTTGCAAAGCAGCTGCTGCTAATTTCTTAGGTGTCTTCCAGTAAGGTCCATAGTGATGGGTGGGTGGGTGTCTTTGAATGCATAAGCAGGGCACCTAATACTCAGGTTTGTATACTGAGCAAACTCTATAGTTAGGCTTTGCAGGAAATACCACCTTAGAAGGTCCAGAGCCAATCTGGTTTCTCCACCGAGAACACTACAGTCCTGCAGACCTCTCCCCAAAAACCCGGGAGCAGCTGAAATATCCAAATTAAGCAAGAACTTTACTCTTAGCTCTGCCAGCTTCAAATTCATTTTGATAACTGAGCTGATTGTTTACATAACACACGTCAGAGTGAAATCCAGCAGGTTCTGACCGGTTCTGGAGAACCGGTAGCAGAAATTTTGAGTAGTCTGGAGAACCAGCAAATGCCACTTCTGACTGGCCCCAATGGGGTGGGAATGGAGATTTTGCAGTATCCTTCCCCTGCCATTCCCACCAAGTCGCACCATACCCACCAAGTCACACTTACAGAACCAGTAGTAAAAAAAAATGAATTTCACCACTGACACACGTGTATGGGTGGGTACAGTCCTGTGGTAGGTTCCGGATCCCATTGCAACCGGTACGTGCAATGGGGCCCAGCTACCACATGAACGCATGCAGCACACGCAGGCGTCCTTAACTCCTGTGATGCTCTGCAATGCCTGCGCGATGCTCCAGCTGTTCGGCAGAGCATCACACAGGCGCTGCATGCTCCATGTGCGGAAGCACTGAAAAGCTCAAATAAAGGTAAGGACGGCGGGCGGGCGGGCACCGTACCAGAATGGTATCCAGTGCTCCTGGCAGGCACCGGTACACCCATACCCGGGTGTACCTCCTGCAACACACCACTTCACTTTATCCTCAAGTCCCTACTATTAGTCCAAAAGGTAATTACCCTGATCTACAGAATGTAGCAACATATAAAGGAATTGCACAAAGAATCTCCTTCTTGGGAGAATTCATGGAAGTGAACTATGCTAAAGAAAGGGTGGGGGGACATTTTTTCTTCTGCCTGGAAGTACAAATGACCTCCAGCCTGCCCTTATAAAGGACAGCTTCTCTCATTCCAGATATCTACTCTCCCTCACATACTCAAAGCAGAACCAGAAATTCCCAATTTCTCCTACTTAATTTTAAGGTGAATCACAAAACTATGTTCAGGATGGCATTTGCAGAGAACAGAATTTTTTTTGCACTGAGGGCTCACGGCTGAAAGTCCCTGGGGCCGCTACATTCACACTCTTCAATTGACTGTACATTTTTAATGTACCCTGCTGTGTCACCATTCAAGCTTTATCAAGCTAACAGACCATACCATTTATTCATTTAACAAACACAATCCCAGCTGACACCAGAACACTGGAAAGGGCAGAGGTTGTTCTCTAAAGAAAGAAACAAAACTGCTTTCAGCTGAAACAGACTTTTAATAAGCTTTAACACAATAGACAGTTATATGAATCCAGAAGAAGGCAGGGGTGATGAATGGAAAAATTAACACAATAAAGAATCAGTATTCTTCTCCCTCATCATCCCCATCAGCACTATCGGCCCCTACCTCTTCATAATCCTTCTCCAGAGCAGCCATGTCCTCCCTAGCCTCTGAGAACTCCCCTTCTTCCATCCCTTCCCCAACATACCAGTGGACAAAGGCACGCTTGGCATACATCAGGTCAAACTTATGGTCCAGGCGGGCCCAGGCCTCAGCAATGGCTGTGGTGTTGCTCAGCATGCAGACTGCACGCTGCACTTTGGCCAAGTCGCCTCCGGGGACCACGGTCGGGGGCTGGTAGTTGATACCAACCTTGAAACCAGTGGGACACCAGTCTACAAACTGGATGCTGCGTTTGGTCTTGATAGTGGCAATAGCAGCATTGACATCTTTGGGAACAACGTCACCACGGTACAACAGGCAGCAGGCCATGTATTTACCATGACGAGGGTCACATTTCACCATCTGATTAGCTGGCTCAAAGCATGCATTAGTGATCTCTGCTACAGAAAGCTGCTCATGGTAGGCTTTTTCAGCAGAGATGACTGGAGCATAGGTCGCCAGAGGGAAATGGATTCTAGGGTAGGGCACCAAGTTGGTCTGGAATTCTGTCAGATCTACATTCAGGGCACCATCAAATCGCAGGGAAGCTGTGATGGAGGACACGATCTGGCTGATAAGGCGATTGAGGTTGGTGTAGGTGGGACGCTCAATGTCAAGGTTTCGTCGGCAAATGTCATAGATGGCTTCGTTGTCTACCATGAAGGCACAGTCGGAGTGCTCCAGGGTGGTGTGGGTGGTCAGGATGGGGTTGTAGGGCTCAACGGTAGCTGTGGATACTTGGGGAGCTGGGTAGATGGAGAACTCCAGCTTGGACTTCTTGCCATAGTCAACGGACAGGCGCTCCATCAGCAAGGATGTAAAGCCAGAGCCAGTGCCACCACCAAAGCTGTGGAAGACCAGAAAACCCTGGAGACCTGTGCACTGGTCGGCCTGTTGGGAAAAAGCAAAGTGGATTCAGTGTCAATTTTAAGAACCAGATTTTTCTCTCATTGATTTCCAAGCATTTTTTTTTTAAACTCCTTAACTCTCAAGAAAATACCAGAAGAAATTCAATCCCATCCAGTTGTTTGAGAATATTCTGTAGCCCATTGTAACTTCCAAAAAGCTACAGACCATAAGATCCAGCCTTCCAGATGATGATGAATGTCAAATTCTACAGCCCCTGCCAATTATCATGAACAAGTGCAACTTAAATCCAACCACTTCAATAGGACTGAATCACATTTAGAAGGCTACTTGGGAATTACCCTGCCTTCTCATTTGCTTCCTGGTAATACAAGTCTTTATATTTCTCCTCCACATCATCATTTCTGATCTAAGATGCAATTCTTTTCATTCTTTTGGTGACTCAGATGGTCAACCTCTTTTTAAAAAAAACATGATTTAAACCATTGTTTACTAAACTTTATTTTCTACAGTAAACCAATGACAACTCACATGATGCAAAACCACAAGCAGTGGTTTAGAAATCAAAAACTAGGTTCAAACATAACTATACCAAAAATAAAACCAAATTTTATGACTTGCCTGTTCAAATCCAGCTAATTTCAAACTAATTTCCCACAAACTTGTTGCAAATACCCTAAGGTTTCTATGTGAGTTCACTCTTATCTCATTCACTCATCACATTTACTGTTCAAAACTCAATCATGGCTAAAAAGAGAATAAATTGTTTGCCAGCAAGCAGAAGATAAAGTGGGATACATTCAGTGAGTCACACTAGAAGCAGCCGATGATCCTATACTGTAAAACTAGGAGATGCATCCCTAGTTGCATCCCACTTATCCCACTTAATATTAGGGGTTTTATTTTTAGAACTATGCATCTCTACAGTTCTTTATTTCACATTTCCAAGCCCAGGGCTCTTTCAGCAGCAGAAATTACCCACCAATTTCCTAATCCTGTCAAGGACCAAGTCAATGATCTCTTTGCCAATGGTGTAATGCCCCCTGGCATAGTTGTTAGCAGCATCTTCTTTGCCAGTGATCAGTTGCTCAGGGTGGAATAGCTGGCGGTATGTTCCAGTGCGCACTTCATCTGTGAAAATAATTAACGAAAAAGGTATTTAGTTTGTTGTGACATCGTGTGATCAAAACCCAAGATGTTTGTTCAAAAATGTATCTACTGACAAAGCTTTCAGAGAGAATTGAACTTCTGGGGTAAACCAAGAGATGGCACTGAGATGATTGCAGAGGAGAAGAATCCAGAATGAAGAAAGAATTGTGGAAGTGGCCAAATCTTTCTGCACGAGTAAAGAATAAAGGCACCTTAAACATTAATTTCAGTGTATTCCAATTGCTCTCAAATTGCATTGTTCAATTGGACAACTCTTCTTCATTCTGGATTCTTGTCCTTTGTTTAACCTATCATTTATTCACTTAATGATCATCGCAAAAAAAATTGTAAAATGAAATCAGTTACATGATGACTTGCTTTACAACCACCACAACTTATGACCAGAATGGGCAGACTCCATTACAGTCATGTTGAGGACAACCTGTAGTGTATTATAAGTAGACTTATGGGAAAATACAGCATTTAAATCTTTATCACTGTTCACAACACAAGAGTCCGCTTTGGGAGAGGATGGGCAGCTATATAAATTTGATAAATAAAATGTTGAACTATATGCCAAAGTTTTAGAATCTGAGTGCTTATTAGGAATTATGGTTTTATTGAACATGGGAGTAGGTAAAAGAATATTGAGAAATTGGAGATCTGGTATTATTCCAGATATTAAGAAATGGCTGCAAGAAGTGAGTGATACGTTGTGGAAGCAAAACCAATATTTTCTACTAATTGGATGCAACAGTAAATGTTATGTCACAAATTTTGTGATATTTAACAATATTTTGTATTTATAAGGACATCCAGATTCAGCCACAATTTTGTTCCATACAGTATCAATCTTGTGAACTCTCAAGCTTCCTCTTTCCGTTATGTATTCAAGATGGACAGTGATTAATTATTTATATGTTAGGGTGTATGTATGTATATATGTATGCATGCATGCATGCATGTATATAGCATATATGAGTTGTATATGTGTACGCTTTTGAGAGCAGGCAAGAAGATTTCATTTTTAATGTGTGTCAGAGTGCCCACAGAAAAAAAATATGACAATAAGGGTTATCTTACTTATAATATAGTGGTATATTTATTAGTAAATCAGCAAGTACTAAAAGTATAAAATACAACATGCCTTTGTTTTTCTTTATAAGCTTGTATGAGTTTGTCTCTTTTCTAATTTGTTTTGGTTTCTATTAATTTTTTTCTTTTTGATATTTATGTATGTTAAGAATATTAAGTTAAATTAAATTAAAAAGTCATGATTGAATAGGTTAAAAATTCATGTTAGCACAAATTAATTCCTTATACCAAAACAAGAATCCATCATATATCCAGTCAAAAAGTTAGTCTCTATTCAGATATGTCATGATGTTCTTCAGGACTGAAGTCTGATTTGTTTTTGTTTTTTAATCTATAAATGCAAGGGACTGGACCTCCAACTTGAACAAGAAATGTTTGATATTCTATGGACCTCTAACCTTTCTTGCCACGGAGTATTTCTAAAATGTTAATATTACTGCAAGTAGCTCACCAATCACTGTTGGCTCCAAATCCACAAACACAGCCCTGGGAACGTGTTTGCCAGCTCCAGTCTCACTGAAGAAGGTGTTGAAGGAGTCATCTCCTCCCCCAATGGTCTTATCGCTGGGCATCTGCCCATCTGGCTGGATGCCATGTTCTAGGCAGTAGAGCTCCCAGCAGGCATTGCCAATCTGGACCCCGGCTTGGCCAACGTGGACGGAGATGCACTCACGCTGCAGAGAGAAACCATTCCATTATATTTATTCTAGAACAGGTAAACCACAATTAGCAATTGTCTGCAATGATTAAACCACTCACCAGTAAAGTCCCAACTAGCAATAAATAATCATCTGTTTTCATGCAACACGAAGCATGAGCTATTAACAAGACTTAAAGGCATGGCTGTGCTAGAAATTATTAGCTCTGTCTGTCTCTGTCTGGATGTAATTAAAGTGCAGCTACGGCTGAAATTTTGGTGCAAGCCAATACTAACAACTTCTTCTTGTCCCATATCCGAAGTTGGCGGAAGTTGGCGATCCTATTTTTATCAAGAGCCGCATGAAAAACTGCTGTTGAGTTTTGTCCAAACCAGTCCCTTAGATTTTGAAGCCATGTTTTTTTTTTTAATTCTGTCTGGACCTCATTTCCATTCATCTTTTCCCTGGAGGATTAAGCGAGGTGTGCCGTATATTTCTGGGTGTCACATCATATGTCCAGAATATTCTAACTTTCAGTCTTTTATGGTTTTTGATGATTTCCCTTGACTTTCCCAGGCAGCTTATCACCTCCTCATTTCTCATTTCAATCATTTCTCATCCCAATGCTAACAACTACCTAGTCTTAATTCATGGGGATGGTTAAGTGCCAGTCATTGCAACAGTTACAATTTCTACCCGTTTCTCGATATGTATCTTTATCACTTGCTTCTGCAACTTCTGGAAATAAAGGAAAGCTGGATGAAGCACAGAAATCACCCGTTCAGAAAATCCTTCTATATTATTTAATAACTAGCCAGCAAGTAAACAACCCAGCAGACTTTTGATCACCAGTTCAGGTAGATGCAGTAATGTGGCCTCCCCAGCATGAAAAAGAATTGGTGATGGGGATTATGGGAGTTATGGTCCAGCACACCTGGACAAGGTCAGGATGGGGAAGCCTGATTCATCTTTTAGATGCCAACTTTGTATTTGGTAATGGGCAGAAGCAGGCATTGTGCAGGTTCACAATGTACCTCCTATTTACTTACCGTATTTTTCAGAGTATAAGACGCACCCTTTTCCCTCAAAAAAGAGGCTGAAAATCTGGATGCATCTTATACACTGAATACAGCATTTGTTGCCTCCCAAAACCCCACCCCCTTCACCAAAATGCCCATGCATTGCCTTTAGGAGGCTTCCAGAGTGCTCCTGGGGGCTGGGGAGGGCAGAAACAAGCAAAAAACAGGCTGTTTTTTGCTCAATTTCCCCCCCCCCAACCCCCAGGAGCACTCTATGAGCCTCCTAAAGGCTATCCATGCCCTTTTTTGACAAACAATGGGCCCAATTTTGTGAGGTTTGCAGAGTGCAAAACCTTTTTAAAAAAAAATTTGGTGCGTCTTATATTCCGTTGCATCTTATACTCTGAAAAATATGGTAGCTTGGCATTTTCTTAAAACCGTGAATGCATTAACTATGAGGTTGGACTCCAGTTTATTTTTCAACAATGAAAAGCACAGAAACCAGTATTCAAACACAGGTCATTGGGTAGGAAAGATTAAAAGTGTCATTAGCTTCATTTTGAAAAGGTGCAGCGTCTCTTTATAACATATGTTTTTTTGAGGAGGGGGGATGCAGCTACATCAGCTATATTCAACAACTACCTTGAATATGGGAGCTGCAAGCACTTCAGACTTGATCTCCAAAGGATTCTTTCCTTTGTGCAAGAGGGCAAAATATAATATCTGGACCTTACAGCAGCTATATCTTTTTCTAGACTCACATGGCTGCTCTTCATAGCTGCCACACAATCCCACAAAATGACCAGCGGCTTTAAGTATTGCAATCAAGTGTTCCAGCTGTTATCCTGTACACTCCAAATACTTTTTTGTATCTGAATGTGAAGCCCTGCCTAGCAAGCGTTATCCTGAGATGCAATTATGTGCACTATATAGAACAGAGGTCTTCAAACTTGGCAACTTTAAGACTTGTGGACTTCAATTCCCAGAATTGAAGTCCGCAAGCTATGCTGGCTGGAGAATTCTGGGAGTTGAAGTCCATAAGTCTTAAAGTTGCCAAGTTTGGGGACCCCTGATATAGAAGCTCCCATGAGTAGAGTTGACCCCCCCCCAACTTCAAATGTCAGTCTTTAAAACTGGCACACCAGAGTACTGATATTTAAAACCGTTTTCAAAATATTTAGAAATGCACCTTAATTTTAGTCCAATTATGGCTTTAAATACTTTTGAGTATAAGCAAACCGGGGTTAAAACCGGCAGCAGAGAATGCTGGAATTACATCTCTGCCTTCCTGGTCTTCTGAAGAAATAAAACACGGCTGCTTCAAGCTTTCTGTAATTCGAGAAGGTTCCTGATTGCACAAATAAAGTTACTTTGTCCACATAGCCATCTAGTATCATTGTAACAATAGTTAAAGCCAACTTTGATCCTAAACTTAGAAGGTCTCTTCACTCCCTACCCCCAAACCTCCCAAACCAGCTTAAACCTGCTGGCTCTGTCATCATCTAGTTCACAACACACAAGGCATTAGATTAAACAGCAAGGCTTTAAAAAGTGTTGTTTGAAGGGCTAAGGGTCAGGCATCACTGTGCTATTTCAAAGGAGCAGGCAATGGACAGCACAATTTTATGCCTGTCACAAGGATTGGAGGGAGGGCTTGATGGTCACTTTGGAGCTCAATCCATCTTCAAGAACTCACTTGGAAGTCAAGAGCTGAAAAAAAGTCAGCCTTGGAAAAGGAGGATTCAATCCTACACAAAGAAGACCATATTAGGAGTCCACAATTAGACCATAATTTATTGCAATTGGAAAAAAAGAGGAATTTCCTCAAAATGTTCAGTGCTCTTTATTGAATAAGATAAGGCCAATAGAGATCCCCTATTTGGTTTGTAGCTTATTTAAAAGATTCCTGGCACTTTTTTGTAATAGCCTCCTTAAATGGCCTTTTCAGGCTTGCAATGGATTCCTCAATAATTTTTACTTTGGTTGTGGAAAGATTTTTTTTTTGTTATAACAACTATAGGAGATTCTTTATTCCAAAGTAACTTTACTTTCTCTCACTGTCTCAGCAATCCCTTAACTGTTAACACAAATCCATGATTCACTGAGACTGGAAACTATGGGGAATACATTGTAACAATAGGTTGCTAAGTTGCACCTTTACTAAGTTATCAACTGACAATGTACCAAATCCAAGTACCAAATCCAAGTACCAAAACCAAGTACCCAGACAAGAATAATTAACCAAAGAACCTGTCCAGTCACACACTTCCCCACAACCACAAATAGGCTGCCCACCATCTACACAACAAAAAGGTAAGCCAACAGACACTAGGAAAGACAACTAAGATTGACCTTTTGACAGTCATGCACAAACACATCATACACCCCAAGACCACACCAAGGACCAATCCCCTTATAAAACAAAGTCTCTGTAGTCTACCCCCAAGAGCAAATTTGATTCAGGAGTCAATGGATCACCTCCTTTCCATCAACTGTGTGCTCTGCATCTTATTTGCTTGCAATGTCCCAGCTAGGAAAAGGGTCTCAGAATTTTTTTTTTACACATGGGTTAATTGAGGATGAATGCTATGGATCTTATTGAACTAAACATGGAGAGAAATGGGGAAAAACTAATTGAGATAAGACTAAAACAACAACAACAACAACAACAATGCTCCAATACAGTAGCAATAGCATCTGAATGTGTTTTTTGTGTGCAAAAGGAGTCAACCTTTCTTAATGTGAGGTCTACCAGATACAATGGATGATAGTCAATCTCCTACAAGATGCTTCACCAAAAACCAAGGAACACTCCTTGCAATTTAATATATTGTACAACATTGTGGTTTGTAAACCTCAGTGCATGGTTTAAGATATTGTGTGATCTGTCTAACCATGATTTATTCAACAACCCCAGGTTAATCAAATCAGACCTGTAATGAGTAATTACACTTTATAACCTCCAGACATGACTAATGACTATGCTGCTGACAGAGAAGAGTAGGAACTGACCTGGAGTTGTACAAAAGTCTGTCCAGATTGAAGGAAGACAACCTCATACATAAATCCTCAGCAACTTTCAGATATCACAGTTACAAGCCATCATGCATTGTGGAATAATCCATACATAACAAGATTTGCCCAGTCTGCTAATTCACACACAAACCATATTTAGGTTGAGGATAATGCACAGTCAGACCAGTATATGATCAATCAATCCTCTGCAAGGTAGACACGCCTGTATTGCTCGTTTCTTATCAGCAATAGAAGCTGTGGGTGGGATTCAAACCTGCTTGAGTCACTGTGACTATTGCAACACATTGTATTTAGCAAAGAAGAGGCCAGGAGCATCATCATGTCCTGGCCCTCTTTTATCAACTACTAGCAGAAGCTTTAGGTTTCATATACTCTTAGCACTAGCATCCATAGCCTTTCACATACCCAGAAATGACTTTAAACAAGCAGCTCTGGAGTGGGACATTATGGAGTGTGGAGGAGTTTTTATGGAGGCAGACTTCTACATGCAAATTTAGGGCAACCCTTGCAGAGACTATACAATGAAGCCAATGAAAAGAAAATATGTAGCATTGAAGACAAAGCTTCCTTTAGAAGAAACGGGACTCTTAGATTTTTCGTCTCAATTTTCTGTGCCTCTGACCAAATCAGAGGAAAATGAGGAAATGCTGTACTGTGACTCAGGTTATAATGAGAGGTTTGTTCAATAAAACCCCAAAGAGGGTACAGTGTCACATGGCTCTTACTATGAAAGCTACTTCAGTACCCTTCTGCATAATGGGAAACAAACAATGGAGTCCTTGGTGCTCTCTGAACCCGTGACCCGTCAAAACCGCGGTCCACAAAAGCGCGCTCGACGAAAGCGTGTACGTGACGTCATCACAGCGCGACGAAAAAAATTAAAAATAAAAAAAAAAATAAAAAAAAAA